ACATGTAATTTTGCCTTCCCTCCACACGGATGCACATCTGAAGGTACTGTTGAACATGAATACAGTTCGCTCCTGCTTACATCAGCGACTGATAACATGAATATTTTGAACTGGCGCTTCATATGATCATTTAAGGAACAATAATATTCTGTGGCAATTGAGATGCAGTTGAAGAATGCTCTCTACCCAATGCCTCAATAATCTCTTTGGCAAATGCCTCAGTGAAACAAACGTTAGGAAGTGGGATTTGTTTAACGTTTTTGACGTAGACATCTGGCACGACAGGGCCACCGTATTCGATGACGCGATACATCCGACATCGTTGTTGATCTTGATCGTATTCGAACGCATTGCACTTAGCTTTCTTTTTGACGCATTCCTCAGCACAGTTGATTAGCGAAGGCAAAGTTTTTGGGTGGTAGTGATGGCGTAGATGAACGGTTGCATCATAAAAGTGCACAAAGTTGTGAGTGTCATGAGTGATGATGTCTTGTTGGTGAATGCCCAGTGGCACCTGAACAGCGTTTATGCATTTGCTGTNNNNTGCTAATGAATGCATAATGGCTCCTGAACAATACACATCGAATAGCCGAAAATAATTTGGGGAATAGCCGGAAAAGCTTCTAAGATATATTAGTCGTCAAGTCATATCTGATTGAACAATTGTTGTTAGGCAATTTCCAAAATGATACCGACGTTTAAAGAAGATATATGCATTTCATCTTCAAAAGACATTGTGGAAGCTTCGACAATGTACCGAAATGCCATGATCGACTAACAATATCAAGATTGAACAGTTTAGAACTGCGAAGATTTTGTACCGATCTTTGTATGGCCAAAAATATCATTCAACTTCAGATAGATCTTCCAATAAATAAAATCCTTCGAATATTCCTCAAATACAGAACGAACCCGTCGAAATAATTCCTTTAAACTCGCTATCAAATGTTGAAAATTAAACAGTGCAAAATGCTCATTCGGAAGCCGAGTTGTTAAAGCCTCGAATGTACAGCCCAAATATGTTGTCTCGTTCAAATCGCTTCAAATATCTGAATGCAGACTTCGATATGTTCCACTCGACGGCATCGGATTTAAATATCCCTGATAAAATCTCGATTGAGAAATGTACACAGCGTATTGCCGTATGTTAACAAAAAGAACGATCCTCAAACTCACTAAAATTCTTAACTGAACCAACAAGCTGGTTGACAGTTGACAGCAGTTGATTGACTGCTCCCTATCGGG